TTTCGCCCCCGGCTGTGCCTCTCCCTCCTGTCCGTTTGAGGCATGTGCCCTTAAATAAAACACCTTCAATATGAAGATGGGGAATAAGCACAAAATCACACGCACAATAGAACATCTGCTAGCACTGGAGGGATTTCTGCACAATCGTGTCCACACGCTTCGTAAATTTATATTCACTTCTAGTTTTTGTCTTTATATTCAAGTTATGTGTACTATTAGAGGAGTATTTCTTCCATAAGCAATGTCCATCTGGGAGAGTCCGTCCCTCAGAGTCATTTTCAGGGAGAAATGCATTATGGGAGGCTTTGGAGATTGGGCGAATCCCGTCCCGCCTCACGAAAGAAAATACCACACGCATGCATGCAGTCGCCGTGAGGCATGCATGGGATATAGGCTTTCCTCTCCGTTCTTAAAAATAAGTACAAAATAATCTTATCTAATCCTGTCGGGTGTAAAATAATGCAGTCGTTACAGGGAAACAGGAAAATGGAAAAGAAAAAGTTGTCCGAGGCACTGCGAGCCAGTTTCATCTGATTAGTGGAGATGATCTGGGGTCGTCTGTTAGTTCGCTTTAGAACAGTTCCGCCCCCATCTCAGACCTGGACAGGCAGCGTTTGGTTCATTTGCAGTCTCATGTCTTGAATGCTGCCGAGAATCTTCTTTTGGTGGCCGGCTAATGTTACACCTATCCGTAACAGGTCTCTGTAGAAAACAACAAGAAGAAAATCTTATTGTCACTGCTATACAATAAATATCATAGTGGTTTCTAAAAGAGTGAACAGAATTGATGTTATTCAAGTGATAAACTCCCATGGGAACGTAGCCAGGTGAGCAAATCCGTTAGCAAATTGTCGCTAGGTTGAGCAAATAGAACAACCCCACCCTTTGGCTACTGAACTGAGACGAGCATGTGGTGCAAAGCCAGTTCTCAAACTGGAGATAGGTCAAGCGCTGGTCAATGATTTGCACCTAAGGCTACCAGATGTCAAATTTCACATAAAGAAAGTGCTATTAGTGTAACCGCCGACATGACTTGGAATACACACTACTGTAGAATGAGTGTGGTGTAAAGGTTACCACAGGCTTTATGATAAAAATGCTTCCTGTTGTTTCATTGGCTGAGGTAATCTAATCTCTTCATGAGGATTTAGTTTACACAGCAACACGTGTAGCTAAAAGCTAGTGCAGACTCTTGTCGTTTACTCTTTTTTTTCCCCTTCCGACAGTGGTGGACGAAGTACACAAATCAAGTACTTGAGTAAAAGTACAGATACCTATAATAAAATATTACTCCATTAAAAGTACTCCTTTTTCAATTTTAATTGAGTGAAAGTACAAAAGTACTCGATTTTTTATGTACTTAAGTAAAAAAGTACTGATAGATAGATTTATTTTGCAATTTTATATAGGCTACTTAATTTAATTTTATATTGGCACATATTTTTTATAATCCTACTGCTCAAAATACCTGGGATTTTCCCAAAATAACCACTATGTGGAGTCAACTACGTTGACGAGAGTGGTGTAGTAATGTTCACTATGAACCTTACACTGCTAAGTACCTGAGAGAAAACAGATTTGACCATCTGATTTTCACCAGTAAGAAAAAAGTGTTTTAAAGCTTGTTGTTTTGCAGAACATCACAGTTATATATGACATGAGAATAAGGCCTGACATTAGGAAGGACATTTTAAGGAAAATATCATTTGTTTTCTTCTCAAACCTTGTCTGTGGTGTAAAAACACCCCTGGTCAAATGCCCCCAGAGGGCATCACTTCCCACTTTGATAATTACTGTAGTTACCATGTTCTGAACATCACATCCTTTATTTTCCCCCAGATGTAATCTATCTAGGTGGTTGAATAAAAATATTTGGACTTTATATCTAAAAATTACCTCAACTTAGCACCAGCAAGCTTAGACAGTTAGCTAGACAGTTAGCATCAGCTAACAATATTTACTTATTTTCAGTATGGTTATGAATAAACATTCATATCTGTCTACTCGGCTAATTAATCCAAATAAAATAAAAATTTATACTGTTGATAAGCAATATAAAAACACAGCAAGCTTGTTAACTAGACAGTTAGCATCAGCTAACAATATTTGCTTATTTTCAGTATGGTTATGAATACACATTCATATCTGTCTACTCGGCTAGTTAATCCAAACAATATAAAAATGTATACTGTTGATAAACAATATAAAAACAGACGTCACATAGGGCTAAATGCGTAGCATTTTAATAAAACTGTTAACGTTACGGCAGCGGGGAATATGAACGTGCATTAGTTATTTTATTTAGTCTGTGATATTTTAAAGTTTAGTTTTTTTTTACCTAAAACATAGAGACACTGATGTTGATGTGTCTGCGCGCTCACACGATCTCCCGGTTCTTACTTGTGAATTCAGTTCACTGGAGACTCGCACTAAACGGTTCATTTGAATCAGTGAGTTGTCGACTCGAGAATCGGACACCGCTTCTGCGTGTCGGAGCTCGTGATATATTATAAGGAGTAACGATATGTTTTATGAAATGTAGTGATGTAAAAAGTACGATCTTATGCTTTGGAATGTAGTGAAGTAAAAGTAAAAGTTACTCAAAATAAAACTACTCCAGTAAAGTACAGATACTCGAAAAATGTACTTAAGTACAGTAACAAAGTAAAACTACTCCGTTACAGTCCACCACTGCCTTCTGAGGACGAAAGAGGACATTGTCGGGGAGCAAGCTGCCCCCATTCTGTCTGCCCTTCTCATCTCTACAATCACACAACATTAGCAGAGTAATTTCACACAGTGTAAAAGTGTTTTCTCCCTTTTTCCTCTGTTGGTCCCATCAAGCCAACAATGTTGGATAAAATGATAATAAATGGAGCCCATTAGGAGAATTACTAGTCATTAAGAGCACGAGAAAACCACCGACTGGTCCACCTGTCAAGTTGCCAAATTGAAACAAATTACCCCTGCCTCCATCCTTTATTACATTTTAATGGGCGTGATGAATTTATTATTTTTTTCTTTATTAGTTTATTTGATCCCAACCGCTCTCTTCACATCTGTCTAGACATTTAACATAGCGACAAATCACAAATTTCTTTTCTGAACAGTGACCTTTGTAAGATTCTTTGTTCATGACATTTTCTGAGGATGAAATGTTACAATAAATTAAGGCGAGATGAGGAAAATAATCACATGCTCAAAAGCTCTATCACTAACCCTGTTCTGATCACTAAAATATAAAATTTCCTGTTCAAGACTTATTGTCTTTTTAATTCCCTATTGAAGTTGTTTTAGGTTGGTTTGATCGCTTGGTCTAAATCAGAGTTCAATTTCACGCAACTGGCTCAAGTCCATGCCACAAGTACTATTATGAAATTATTACCCCCTTTTAGAAGTTGCATGAATGCACAGTGCCTTGAATTTGAACTAATGTGAGACCACCAAAACAAAGACGAGCAATCCAACAAATAAACCAGACACTCACTCTGCAGTCATCTGGGCCACCAAGTCAAAAGAAGCAAAGCCAGCATTAAGGAAGTTGTCTCGGTAGCGGCTCATCTTGATGGCATCCAGCCAGTCGCCCACAGTGGTGAAGGTGGTGTAGTCAGGCACACAGCGGTCGAGGAGCGGCTGGGAGGCCCTACAGAGAAAGAGAGGAGTGGAGATAAAACGAGAGAGAGAGAGGGTTAGGTCACGCCAGGCCTCCACCACCGAAACCTCACCCCCAAACCCCCCACAACCACCACCATCTCTCCTGGCCTGTAGGGCCTGAACCTGCCACTGTGGCTTACTGGCTGGAGACGTGAAGGAGCCCGCCAGAGAGAACTGCAATGATGCTGTGGGTGTGGGTCCGTATGCAGCGGTAAATGTTTGGACTTAAGTTGTGTTGCCTGACATGTATCGATACATGACATGCTCCAATTCTACATTCATTTTTATATTATTTCTCAGTATTCCTTTGAAATCACTGTTTGCTTATGCATGACATGATTCATCCAAGTAGGACAAGTAGGTTGACCACCTCTTTTATTGGTCCAGGAGCAACATTTATTTAGTTAAATCATGTTTGCCTGCATACACCTGCATAGATTCTTCTTGCACTATAGTGCAACTAAATTTAATGCCATGCATGAAAGCAGCCAGTTTAAATTAGATCAGACAAAACCAACAGAGACCAGACATGATCTATGACCAGACTGGGGTCTTAATAACTAACAGTGAGGTCTGGACTGTGGGGATAGGGAGGCAAAGTTTGAGACCAAAGACACTTCTGTCTGCAAGCTCTCTGCTCTGCTGAACCTAGCTGTCTTTTGATGGCATTAGATTAATTAACAATTAAAAGCATAAGAAAAAAGTTAATAATAAAGGAACAGAGGCTCTATTGAGGACAAGGTCTGTAGATGGATGGGAAGAGTGATTTTTAATAAACTCCTGCCTTTAGCGCTGAAGGTTTGTGGTCATTAACCTGGAAGGCAGCTTTTCTTAATGGGGCATTGTTAGAGCTGGCCTGGCTCTCACATCTTAGGGACGTTGTCTTGAAGTGCGAGACTGGGAAAAACTGTATGAGGAAACCAAAAAAATGTCTGTGCATAACTAAACTACCCTGAACTCAGCATTGAGAGCAACTATTAACTAATTAAACTGTCCTTAGTTTAGTTAAGGAATTGATCACTGAAGATAGTATACAGAGCATCAAATGTTGCAACAACAGGAGCCCATCTCTCAGTCTTTCATTAGGCTCAACAGGCAGGCCACCTCTCCATTGGCCCTTTTAAAATCTCGTTACTTGCTAATTAAAACCATTCCCATCTCTGAATTACATTAATTATTCCTCCTTTATCCTCTGATCATTGCAAAGTAGACAAAGTGTCTCCCACAGTTCCCTGCTTGTTAGAGGCCCTCCCCCAGGACTTACAGCTTAGAGGCATGCACCCCGAGGTGGGTCAAAACCCATCTAGAGCTTCTGGCGAACAATTACTGTGTGTCTTACTGAAACAAATTCTGTGCAAATATGCTGATCAACAAGTAAAAGGCTGTTATATAGTGACAGGCATCTGGAAGGAGGCTTATGTCATTAAATATCTCAAATAGAAAAGCCTAGTATGTGTATACCAGAGCAAGCATCTCAGGCAAAACAATCGATAGCCCCGTGATGGTGCAATTAAACCAAATGTTTTATTGACTTAAGGTCATCCTGATTTCCATAACGTCAGAGTTTCTCAGCTTACAATATTTTTGGTCATTTGAAAATTATCTTAAATCAATAGGCTCTTAATTCAAATGCCTCTGTAACTTTGTCCTAATTCTGAATTTGAAATGAGATAACCAATTTGTAAAAGTCGTTAATACTGCTTGTTTAGTTGAGGAGATAAAAATCATGCAAACATGTTAACTAACATGCTAATATGTCCATGTGTGCCCTTACCCAGAATGTGTGCTGGTGACCACCTTAAGGCTGGCGGCATTGCGAATAAGTTTGTCCAAGGTGTTGACGATCTGGGAGAACTTAGGTCTCAAGTTTCTTTCTTTCACCCAGCAGTCTAGCATGAGTTGATGCAAGGCAGTAGGGCAATCCATAGGTGGGGGCAGTCGGTAGTCCTGCTCGACAGCGTTGATTACCTGTTGATGTAAAAATAATAATTGGTGTTAGTTTATTAACAAATTAATTTGAACAGAGGCAAAGTAGAGAGGAAACTTACGTCTTGGTTACTCATGTCCCAGTATGGGCGCTCGCCATACGACATCACCTCCCACATCACAATGCCGTAGCTCCAGACGTCACTGGCTGAGGTGAACTTCCTATAAGCAATAGCCTCTGGTGCTGTCCAGCGAATAGGGATCTTTCCTCCCTACAGATGCAAGAGCATACAATGTTTTTTTAATCTCAAATGGGAGCTGGTCATTGTTATATAAATATTAAATGAGAGCTGGACATTTTTAATTGCTATAGAAATATTAATGGATAAAGACTTGAATGCTGACCAATGAGCTGGTGTAGGTGGGGTCAGTGGGATCATCCTCCAAGAAACGAGAAAGGCCAAAATCGGACACCTTACACACCAGGTTGCTGTTGACCAGAATGTTACGGGCAGCCAAATCACGGTGCACATAGTTCATGTCGGACAGATATTTCATGCCAGCTGCAATGCCTCTCAACATACCGACGAGCTGGATGACTGTGAACTGTCCATCATTTAGCTGTTGGAGAGAGTGGGAAAAATCACAGACCCATTTATAACAGAAATGTCCGCTGTCTACGTTTTTTAACTTTCCAGGATGTGACTCATCAGCTAGATGATTCATCTCTCAAAGTCACAGCTAGCAGCTTCACTATTTAGAAAAGTTAGGATGTTTTTCAAAGGGGCAGGTGAGAACATCTCTTTTTATTAGAAAACTAATCTGGGACTAAATCTTGCAAGACTTCAACAATGATAGTATTCATTTCAGTAGATCACATTTTTTAACTGTTACTTGCATTTCCATAAATGTCCCACAACAAGAATCCAGGCAAAGAAAAAGAAAAAAAAAAAAAATTAAATTAATTTTATGGTAGTAAGCATCTCTAACCCGGAGAAAGGAATCCAGTGCTCCGTTCTCCATGAACTCTGTGACAATCATGACTGGCCGACTCTTCGTCACCACCCCTTCAAGGCGGATAATATTAGGATGATCAAACTGGCCCATGATGCTGGCTTCACTCAGGAAGTCTCTTCTTTGGCGTTCCGTATAGCCTGCCTTCAGAGTCTTGATGGCCACAATGATCTCACGCCGTCCAGGGAGTTTCAGACGGCCACGACACACCTCTCCAAACTCTCCTACATAGGTAATGGACAGACGAGAGAGAGGAAGAAAAGGTGGAGTGGAGAGAGGAGAGGGAAGAGTGGAGGAGTGTGGGAGAGAAAGGGGAGAGGGACAGTTACTGGTTAGAATCAAGGAGCCAGGGGGAAGCAGCGGGAGACAGCAAGAGAAGCCAGGGCTAAAGGTAATGCTATTAGAGTGTATCCAGGGGGTGAGGGAAGGGGTAGGGTGAGGTAAGGAATGCTTAAATAGGAAAAGCTCTTGGAGGGTTGTTGGGAGTTGGGGTACCGAAAATGAAAAGTAAAGCAATAGTGGAAAGGGTAAAGAGTAGATTCAGAGAATGCTAGGGTCTGGAGGGAGTGAGGGTAGTAATGTGGGAAGTAGGTGGGGACAGAAGCTTGGGAGGATTGGACGGCTTGCGTCTGCAGTCTAGGCCAATGTGTAAGCAAGTGCGAGAGAAACAGAGGGGTCAGGGAAGGACATGGTAGGGGTTCATCACTTTAGATAAAGCTAGGAAACAATAGGTTCAGGTAGCAGCGTTAGATGTTAAAAACCTTGTTTGTTGGACTCTGACATGGGGCTCCTCAACTCATTACAACATGCCTGCAAGTCTTACTGAACCAGTATCCTACTTTTTTTTTGGCTCTAACATTAATGTTAACATTTAGAAAATTTACAAAACAAAGGGGAGTGGTCTCAAGGTCAGGAAGGAAGTCAACAGGTCATAGGTCAAGGACATTTAATTGTCCGAGAGGTATCATCAGGCTCAGGACAGGCTTGGTAAGTTAGCAGGAATGGTAGCTCTATAGTTAGCTCTGAAGATAACCTCAGAAGCTCCATTTTGTAAGTAAAGCTGTTAGAGACATTGGTAAAGTGCTAAGGGTTTGGATTTTGGAGCGGGATGAGTTGATTGAAGTACCGCTTGGTGTGAAGTCCTCTAAAGGTATGGCGTGGGTGTGCCTAGCTGTCTTCCCCCTGTTGCTCAGGAGCTTGTGTTGCTGGTTACCTGCGCCAATGACTTCCTCGATTTTCACACAGGAAACGTCAATCTCTTTGGCAAACTCGCGGATGGCCTCATTTGGGTCCTCATAGGTGAATGGGTCAATGTAGACCTTCATTCCCGGAGTGACTATAGGGGATTCAATAGTGCAAATAGCTGTATGAATCACACTGCCATAATACACAATATTTATAGCATTGCTAGTCATCAGAATGCAAGTAAACTCTGTAGAGACGTACTGTATTGTTGCAGTTTTTCTGTGTATTCTGATTCTGAGCCATTGCGTTGCTTCCTGAGAACCAAAGACAATACAGTCAGTTACAAAAGGTTGATGATTTTTTATCTAAATGTAGGAAAATAAGCATTTGAAAAGGACCTGTGTTTTCCCTGCCAGCCCCTTTAGGGACATAAATTGAGGTCGATCAAAGAAAGAGAATGATATAAAAATTAAGAGAACAACAGAATCACCCTTAACAGACCCTTGTCACTACACGATGGAAGTCAAATCTGCATAAAGACAGCTACGAAAAACAGTAGCAGCACTGGTTGTCTTGCTCCCGTTAAATGCTAAGGAATCTTTACAGCCACATTGTTTAATTCACTCCTGTCTCTTAATTTGTTCCTTCACACTCAGTATCAGTCCATTAAATGCAATGCAATTTCAACAAACCCAACCCCCCTCTAGTACATTTTAATGCAATCCCTTTGTTGTTTAACTAGTAACCGGGCCAATAATACCCGCTGGTGATTTGTATCTCATTTCCAATTCAAATTCAGCTCCGGAATATGCCAAGGCCTACATTTTTTCAATCACAGACAAGTTAAGATACTGAGACATTGTGCTGATTAGAACGAAAGAGAGTGCAGATTTAGAATTTTTGCATGATAAGGCTTTAAATACACAGCTGCCTTGCCCTCAACTGTGGAAATGGGAAGGTGGCCACAGGATGGAAAGTGCCAGTGCCAACGGTCATTGGGACACTGCGGAATTCCAATGTAGGGCACACTGGCTACAGTTTACTAAGTACAAGATCCAAAATAACTGACAACCCAGAATGAATCTGCTTCTCAAACTGCATTCATTAATTGTCCAATAGGTTCTAAGGAAGCATTATGGGTAACTAAATTGCATATGCCCTCAAAATATTGTGTTGTTTCATAAGTATACTTTGACTTCTGATTCTTTGATTCTTGCTGTGATCCATTTATAAGTACATTTACTGAACGTCATTAAGGTAAGTTAAAAATTTAACCAGTTACCTGAGGCAGACAATGGCAATAACCACAACAACAATGATGAAGACCAGCCCTGCTGTCAGAGAACCCACAATGAGAGGTAACTGCTCCTGTAGAGTCTTGTCTACATCGGCTGTGTGTGAGGCACAAAGAGAGATATCAGATCTATTTATGGCGTTTCTTTGTCTATGAGAGGTATTTATACACTTAGATCCACACAACTGCTTGATATTATTTGAAAGAAAGTTGTTTTTATGTGATAATATAGGAATATATGTTGTTTTACATACCCTGGTGGTTGGTGCTAAAGTCAGTAGGGCTGCTATAGCGCCCATACCCAGCCACCGTTCGGGCTCGAATCTGCACAACATACGGCGTGCCTGGCTTCAAACCCTCAATGCGTGCAGAGCTACGCTGGGCTGTCATGGTGTGGGCAATAGCTTCTCCCTGGTCCTGTGGGAACAGTGATAAAACAAGCCATATAAATCCAGCCAGCACCCAAAAGCAAGCGTCTGGCAGCTATGGTTTAATCTGTCAGTACAACACATCAAACACGAAGCAAATATGCCTGGCCCTTTCTTTTCCTCTATGCAAATCCTCCTGCCTCCATCCCTGCCAAGCTCCAACTGCCTTGCGGTGTCAGCGTTCAAAAGAAGGGGATGAATCAAGGAAGGAGTTAGGGAAGAATGTTAGAATACGAGAGAGAGGAAGGGTTGATGCTGTTGTCAGGATGAACGATTATGTATAGAGCAGAGGATGACAGTGGTGGAATTGTGATCGAATGCCCTTCGCTTCATTGACTTACACTGGCTCTTACCTTCTCATGGTATTTAATCTCGTAATCCAAGATGATGCCATTTGGTTTTTCAGGGGGGAGCCAGGAAAGACTCATGGTGTTGGCTGAGGCCCCCATCAGGTGGACGGTAGGAACTGCAGAGGGAGCTGTGTGGGGAAAATGAGAGAAATCCTATTTTAATGAAAGCTGACATTCTATTTTTTTCACATTTAGAGCATGTTCACATTCAGGATTACCAAAGAGCTGCTTTGATGTGTAAGCATTCAGACAGCTCTTAGTCTTGGGCCCTTTCAGGGCCCCAGCCTCTCAACTACACAGACAGATTGGATTCTAAAGTCTCTTGTAAAAAGGACCATGGCAGACAAACAGGAAGGCTTAGTATCTGGCAGATTCAGTCCACACAACCTACACACACATGCAAATATATTTATAACTGCACACACCCTCTGTCCACTCCCTAAGCTCTTTCTTTCCCAAATTACTGTAATGTGAAAAAGATGTATTATTATTTTCATTTTAAAGTATTTATACACCATGTTAGTGTAAATTGTGTTCACTTACACATCTTTATTGTAATACTGTAAAAATATTAATGAGATCCTAATAAGAATCACACCTGAGTGACTGATTATAAAACAAGTGAAATGCCTGTAATTTTAACATGAAAATTAGAATTTTGGGGTAATTATCATGAAATTAATTTCTTTATATTCTTTAAAATTCCCTTTATGCAAGATATAATCTATTGTTTGTTTTTAGGACTAAATGTAACCTGGACTTTTTTACCTATACATATTCGTGTTAACACAAGTTCTTATATAGCTCCTTACTTCTCTTTGCACCTAGCTTTACATAATCTATACTGTCCCCATTTGTCCTCAGACCTGATGTTGCCATCTCCGGTTTCTGATGTTATCAAATTCTGTTCACACACTACAGTAGCTCTCAACATCCCCTGCTTTCTTGCCTCTGTCTCTCTCTCCCTCACTCTTTCTTTATTAAAAGCGTTTTAATCCCCAGGTCCGGTTCTTTGATCCTTTCCCTAGTAGCTCTTTATCATTCTGTCTGTCTCTTTGTCCACCTCCCCCAAAAGCTCACTCTCCCCCCAACCCAACACCATCAACCTCCTAACCCAGGCCTTGCTCCGAAAAGCTTCACCCTGCAGACAATGCTCACTGGGCAGCCTGCTTGCTTACTCTCACCCCAGGATTAAGGGGCCTCATCTTGAGGAGACAGTGGAAGTAACTATGACGTCCCTTGAGCTGATGGCCCATATTTATTTTTTGTCTTAAAAGGCAGATGAATATTCAAGAACAGTCCTGGGAGATAATCTGATCACAGACCCTCCTGAAGTTTCGGAACCATGGGGGTGGGCGGCTTTGTGGGTGTGCATGTCACCCTGGGATTGACTCATATGCAACAACAGCCTGGGTTATATGGCAATGCCTGCAGTCAATCCCTGAGAGCAAACAGAGGCATTCTTAAAGCTGGGTGTTAGCATAGAGTGCTAAGAAGAGAGTTAAGCATATTCATAAAACTGAGCGCTATCCTGAGAAGTCCAGTGTCAATTCAAAACTTGAAATCACACAATAAGAGACTGTTTTCACAAGGTTAACGCATCTCCACATCTCACTAACCCAGCACACTCTAGCCTAGAGTAGATTAGCTTTGCTACTGAGCCTCATAGCACAGCTCTCAGGCATTGATGCATTCTGTGGGCTGAGCTCTTTGGGTAGAGTGTTGTGGGTTGGAAATATCTTAAGAGAGGCCATTACACTTCATTATTTCAAGCTAGAGCAAGTGAAGAAAAAACCTTTATGGACACACATGGAAGAGCATATTTGTAACCTGAAGGAAAATCTAAAGATGGTATCTGTGTTTTGGAATATGATAGCTGATCGAGCTGGTCGGGGCTGGTTATTAAAACAAATCAGTTGGTGGCTGTTCAAGGTAGTTTTTGGACCATGGTAGATGTTTGATTGATAACCATCTTGAAATAAAAAAATAAAATAAAATCACTGAACTCACCAGCCTGGTTGGTGGTGATGTTAACGGAGGCAAACTGGGGTGCATAGGGACTCTTGTTGGAGACTCCATTGACGGCCTGAATCTCAAAGCTGTACTGGGTGTGAGCCTGAAGGTTTCTGACCGTCACGAGCCTCTCAGTAAGCCCAAGGTGGCGGGGAGAGATATCCACGTTGTCATCACATCGTGTGCAGGTTCCACGTTCAGGCAGGCATTTCTTACAAATGACATTGTAGAGAAGGTCCTCCCTTCCACCTTGGTCACGTGGCTCGCTCCACTCAAGTACAAGCGATGTCTCATTTACACTGGAGATGACGCTGCGTGGAGCTGAGGGTACGGCTGCAAAAATAAACTATTTTTGTCATGTTGTTTTCCTAAGGTAAGTGTTAAAGGGGTCATATGATGCGATTTCAATTTTTCCTTTCTCTTTGGAGTGTTACAAGCTCTTGGTGCATAAAGAAGTTGCAAACGGGTGTGAGCCTGAAGGTTTCTGACCGTCACATGCCTCTCAGTAAGCCCAAGGTGGCGGGGAGAGATATCCACGTTGTCATCACATCGTGTGCAGGTTCCACGTTCAGGCAGGCATTTCTTACAAATGACATTGTAGAGAAGGTCCTCCCTTCCACCTTGGTCACGTGGCTCGCTCCACTCAAGTACAAGCGATGTCTCATTTACACTGGAGATGACGCTGCGTGGAGCTGAGGGTACGGCTGCAAAAATAAACTATTTTTGTCATGTTGTTTTCCTAAGGTAAGTGTTAAAGGGGTCATATGATGCGATTTCAATTTTTCCTTTCTCTTTGGAGTGTTACAAGCTCTTGGTGCATAAAGAAGTTGCAAACACTAAAGTCTCAAAACCAAAGAGATATTCTTTATAAAAGTTAAGAGTTAACCACGCCTACCTAAAACGGCTCGTTCTAATCTTTTTAGCAGCATCATATGACCCCTTTAATAAACCTGTCAAAAAGGCCAGCCTAAGGTGGTTTTCTGGTTTTAGCAGGTTTAAGCTTGGTTAGTTGCTTTCCCAGCAGGTCCCTTAGCAAAGCAGGTGTTCAGCTAGTTTAGGTCACAAAGCTGGTTTAGCTGACCAATTGAGTTCCCTAAAACTACCAAACTAAGCAGTGCCTAAGCAGGGGAAACCAGCCTGGTAAGCAGCTAAGACCATCAGATCACATTAGGCTAGTTTAAGATGTTTTTTTAAGCAGGAAATTTAACTAAAATTGGTCAAATGGGGCTTCACATACACTCAATGTGGATTAAATGCTTTCATGTAAATCAAATTAAGCAAAACCTTGTTTTTCCCACTTGTGCTGTTCATTTTAATATCAAAAATGGCTAGAAATAGCTGTGGTTCACTTGGGAAAACATTTTTATTTTTGCATGTATCTGTTCAGAGTGCTGACAATGAACAGAGCTAGAAAGGAGCTAATATGAAACAGAAGAAAGGGAAACGTTTAAAAACAATCCTAGTATTCTTCTGCATGTTGAACGGAGGAATTGCTTTACATATGGATGAACATATGAATGTACATATGGTGTTTGGATCAATGTGGCTTTTGAGAGCTGACAAATAAACAACACCCCTTATGTTTAGATAAGTTCATGGTGGGTTAAATGGCTGTTTTAGTCGAGAGCATTACTCACTGGTGCATCCTGAGTCAGGTGAATCATTGTCCGCCCGATAATAGCCGGTCCTGCAGGAACAAATGCTGGCGGCTCCAGAACTTGTCCGACTGTTGGGTGGACACAGGGAGCAGAACCCTTCACCCTGCTTGGACTTGAAGGTACCTGGACTGCAAGCTAAAGAGAGAAAGATTTTTACTTTGACTGTCAAAATAGAAACTCATAGCTGTAACCGCATATTCACACCAAGTGTACTTATTTGCTACTCATTTTCGTTGAATGCTTCCATCTAGGTATGTGACAACTTTTCATTGCATTCAACTGCAAAATCAATAGCAATTTCCTTTTTGCAATTTGCATTTTGTGAGCTCTGCTTGCTTTAATTTAGTTTCTTACTTTTGTTTTCCTTGCCCACAGTCTAATCCTTTCCATCTTGGCATTGTAAAATACGAAGGCGCACAGGTTCTTGCTTACGTATTTGTTTGGCACCGTTAATTTGCTGTGTTTTCCTCCAGGGAAATAACCCCCTCATGACTAGACGAGTTCCAACAACATACCCTGGCCTTGCATAAACCCCATGTGCATATGCTAACCGTCAACTTCAATTACAAACACATGCCTGTTAGTTCCAAACAACAGCACTTTTCAGAATGTCAATTCTCATACACAGGCAATGTCAATGTTGTTCTGCAGGACTTGTCCCTCTAAGATAAACAAAGCATATTAAAGACTACAAGGGAAAGTGTGAGCTGTTATTTTATGAATACAAAGATTAGTGTGTCATTCACAGGTCTTTGGCCTTTGTGGAGCTTTGACACCATTTATGGAGATTGTGTACACATTGTATCACATCTACGATAAATGGAGAGGTGCTCTCCTGGCACACAATGCCAATGTGATCGTTCAGCTCAGAATGTCACTCAACTGTCTAAGTGATCAAGTAGTCAGTTTTATGTTTATTAGAAGCAGACAAGGAGTATGATGACAGTTCCCAGCCTTCCGAGCCATTTTATCAGTAAAGGTTAGAAGCAGCAAATAATGAACAGGCACTGTGTTTTTCTGAGAAAAAAAAAAAAAAAAAGATTTGAACAAGATTTGGTTTCTGGACTGATAGTGCGCAAAGCAGAACACAACACCGGTGATGTTCCTGAGGTCACTTTCCAAATTCCCTTTCTCAGAATGTGCAATATTGACACAAGGCTTCATTAGTGCAGGGATACTGTTACCTCGGTTAACCAGGGGCTTATTTGTTTAACCATTAATCAGGGGAGGCCAGAGATAGGTAGTGAAGAAGGAGCATAGAAAACAATTCACATAGAGATAAAAATGAAAGAGTGTAGTTGTGAGTTCGGGTTTATCGCACGTAACGTATCACTTTGGAGATTAATGAGTCCTCAGTGTTTTGCCTCGCATTTCAGATGTACATAAATCAACCAAAATCTTGGGGAGACAAATTAGACCATCTAGTTCTAGCCCCCATGAAAGACTGCTTGAAATTCCCCTTCAAAAAGCTCTGGCGGTTTTCTGAAGGATTGAAAGTGCTGATTAATCGCTTCCAAGGAGGTAAGAAGTCAGCCCTTTCCTTTCATCCTCATCCTTCCTCCAGCAACTCTCCTGACAGAGCACGAGAGAGAGAAGAGGTGAAAGAAAGCAAAAGAAATGCAAATCATGAGGCTTTTTTCATGAGTTCTCTTACTTGCACACTCTCTCCAGTACAGTCTATTGCTCGCACTCTATTGCCCAGACTCTATTTGCTGCTCTCCCTCTCTCATTGAGAGCAGAAGGACTTAACATAAGTTGGCAGTAGTATGAAAGTCCTTCATTACGTTGACAACTACAGAAAATTTCTGAAAAAAAATAAAAAAATAAATAACGTGAGTGGTGCAAAACTTGCTTTCACTATGCTAAGGTGTTTTAAATGGTTGCCATGGCATTGCTATGTGATTCTTAACTTTTTAGGGTACTATGTGGTTGCTAGGGTTTTGTGGTAGATTGCCAAGGAGTTTCAATGCTTTTCCTAAGGCATTCTTTCTTGTTCTTTTTTGCATACTTTATGGTTGTTAGGTGGTTTCTTACCATCTCAAGTTAAAATGTGCCTACCCCAAGTCCTATTCAAGATATTCTAGTCCCCTCTAAAATGTAAATCTATGGGACTTTTCCCCACCTATTTATCATCCAACAGCTGAAAATGCTAAAGGGGTCATATGATGCGATTTAAATTTTTCCTTTCTCTTTGGAGTGTTACAAGCTCTTGGTGCATAAAGAAGATCTGTAAAGTTGCAAAGACTAAAGTCTCAAATCCAAAGAGATATTCTTTATAAAAGTTAAGAGTCAGCCACGCCTACCTAAATGTTCTTTTTAGCAACATCATATGACCCCTTTAAGTAAATTGCTTAGGAGTATATATTTGTAAAATTAGCAGTATACAGGTTAAAGCAGCATTCATTTCCATAGCACAAACTTTGTAGGGCGAACTATACACTACAGTTTAATACTCAGGGTTAAGTGTTTGCTTAAATCTCCAACCCTCTGTATGAACAATCATAACAGTTACGATTACCTCAAACACCACAAATAATCCTCTTTTCTCTATACACAAATAATTTGCTGTTCAGTTTAATTCTTTACCCCAGAGGTTCACTGATCAGTGGCTTTGCCTTTCTTTTAATGTGCTGGAACCAACTGTCTCTTTGCGACCTTTCACTTCTGGTGCCTTGACTGTCACAGGGTTACTTTTCTTTCTCCATCTCATGCTCTTCATTAAGGTTTCACTGCAGCCCTTGCCCTTGGTCTGCAAATCGATTCCGGTCTCTCACTCCCAGCTCTCCATTTGACCCTTGACCTCCCGCTGTCTGCTCTGCTCACTTTCACCGTGGCTATGTTACACAATGACTTAATTCAGCTCAGCCTTAACCTGATATGTTTTTCATCAAAACTGCTCCTTTCTCTCAGCAAAATGTTCCACTCTGATAGACATACAGACTTGTTTTACTTATTCATTGCTTTGCTCTGCTTAAATTGAGGTCGAATAGCCAAATTTGCTGTTAGGTCAAACACCTCAATAAAAAAAACAAAAACAGGATGATTTGTCCATTTGGCTTAATGTGATACCGAGAGATAAAACAAATTGCACAGTGAGAAAAATAAAACACATATATCAGCACTCACCTTGACACTGTGTGTCCTTAACTGCAGGCTCGAACCCAGCCATGCAAGTACAGGAACCTACAGGAACCATCCACTCTCCATCTCCATTGCAATAGAGTTTAAGAGGAACAGACACCTCCAGAGCATTCGGCACACAAGTGCCAGGGGCAATGACTAGCGACGTGGCCTCGGCGCCTGTGGCCGTCTCTGGGAAGACGGCAAAATGGGCAATGGTTGTGGAACACTTCTTGTAGAAAACTCGGACAGAGATTAAAGACATGCAGGCACCCAGGTCCTGGAAAGCCAGATAGAAGCCAGCCCTAGAAAGTGGACCAAAGCTGCGAATCTTGGTGTTGACCCGACCAGACTCCAACATAGAGAAGCTCTCATCCGGAGCAATGGTGTCCACCTTAACATAAGGGTTCTCCATCCAAAAAGGACTGGTAGATGTTGCGGAATCTGAGTCGGACTCGTAGTAGAATAGATTGAAGGTCTCTTTACATGATCCCGGAATGTTGGGAATACTGTTGCAATCTCGTACGGTGAACTTCATCTCCACATAAACACGGAGAACGTCCTTTCGAGGGATAAAGTCGCTGCGAAGCCAGTTGTTCTGGTTAAGCTCACGAACGTTGCACACTTGGTATGTTCGGATGGGGTTCATGGCATCATCATAACCACTGACTTCCTCCCACTGAGAAAAAAAAAAAGAGATCACTAAGTCATAGATATAAAACATACAAGTTCACCTTCAGAATGAGCTAGCACTTAATATATACTGCATTCGGTGATTCTTCTACAGAACAATAGCAATAAGAAATGTTTTATCTAAAGTATGGTACGATACACTTTATTGTCAGCATTATAAATGAAACCATTTTCATTTTGATGTTATCCAGGGCTTTAGAACTCTGAGGTGTTACGCTACAGAGGTACGTCAGGCAATAAATTGCTGCTTCTCAGCTCCAGCCCCACACACCGTAGCTGAGAAACAATATAACGGAGGGAGCAAGCTGAGAAAAGAGTGAATGGGGTGGATGAAAGCGAGGGGAAATAAAATGTTGTGCTTTTTGGTTTGTGCCTTTTCAATTACACATTGTGTGTGGTGTCATTAAGTGGGGAGCTTCATGCTGGTCTTTCATCTGAGCTCAATGAGGAAACCTGCCTAGCAAATTCATCAAAATTACCGTGGAGTGTCAGAACTCCATCGAATAAAACAACGAGTGGATGTTTACCTCATACCTTGACTGTGGAGTACTCTCTGCATCACTTCACAATCAATTACTGTTCAATTAAACTATCATGATTACACTGTATTCCTGCAGATCAACAAGCTACACTCAATCCTCTACCAACATGATTTCTTTCTTATCTACCAAAATTAACAGTATACATCTTTTGAAAAGAAAGGTGAGAGGTATCTTCAAGAGTTTGACTGCTGATGTGGTACTAAATGCTGCATTGTGATTTGTGGTAACACCATGTGACATGATAAGCATTATGTAGCAACAACTAATGGTAGTGCAGACTGTGGTCGAGTAAAAATGCCTACTAGCAATCTTGGCATCTAATGACGATTTTTACATCAACATCGGCTTGTTTAACAAACAGCATATATCAACAAGAAATGATTCACATTCAATGCTGTAAAGGGACAATTAGATTCACGCTCAACCTCGGGAAACCATCCAACTTCTTTTGATTACAGCAAGTTCAATTTCAGAGCAAGAATAAGCGATCCGAAAGGAGAAAATGAGCTGTAGCCAAAAAACGAAAACGAAATCTCGCACGGCATTGAGAGATTTGTTGAGAGAGTAGCGTAGTGTTTGTGTAGAGGTGAAGTGTTTAATTAACATAGAAATATGGATGTTGTGCGGACAGGCCATTCATCCCTATGGGCCCCGGGGACCCGAAGCAGACAGGGCTTCCAGAAGTCTCTGCTTTATCACTGCCTTTCTGAGCCAAGGGTGCCGAGATCAATAATACGCATCAGGTCAATGCGACAGGAGAAAGAATGAGGTGTAAATGGGCATTTAGTTCAGTGGAAAAAATAGCTGAGAGAGTGAAGATGGAAGCGAGGAAGGGGCCCACACATCGCACTGGTGTCGACTCCTCTAGGGGTAATGGCGCACCAAACATTCCTCCTTCCAAGATTAAGATGCCCAATCAATTTCTTTTCAGCTCAATTTCAGGGAAATAAGCCTACGAATGGCTTACTTTAAGAGATTTCTGCATATTAAATGTTGATATGAGATAGTACTTTCTGAAAGTACTGAAAAAATACACAAGGTGAAAAGTCATGCTCATTAATTTTCCCCTGCTGCATCTCTTCGATTTGTTGGGGGAAAAAAAGATGAATGAATTTACTTTAGACGCAGATGCTGCTGTGGAATGATGGTTTATGTGGTTTATTTATGAATATATATATAAGTGCATTACAGTGTTTTTTTTTTTTCTTCACTCGTTTTGTTTATCTTGGAAGAATTAGCAGGTCAGGTTTAAGCGACAGCAGGTCGTTTTGTTTATTTTTCCTTAATGGTGTCACAGTCTGTATTTATCGGTGTTTATTTCTCGGGTTACAGGTGTCAAACTAATGACTAATAGACTTTTTTTTTTTTTTTTTTTCGTGGCAGATTAAATGAAAAGAGAAAAATAACTGCTGTGTCAGACTGGGATTTATTCCAACTTTTTGCCCCTGTTTTTATTATCTGGGCACAGTTCCCATTTCGGTTTTCTGGGTGCGACATACCATTGAACTTAGTGTCACACAAAATTAGAAACGAGTGTGCTATAGGAAAGAGAGATATGGAGGGTGCCAATTAAGCCAGTGGCTGGATCTCCAAAAAAAAATTTAAAAAAAAAAGCTGTCAAAATTACATTTCATCCCCAGCAGAAATAATAAATTATATGTTGCTAAAAATAAATAAATAAAAATTATGACAAGTAGGCAACACCCTCCCACACCTCACCCCAATTGTCATAACTGCAATAAATAAATAAATTAGTAAATAAATATTATTTAAATTCTATAGCATTTATCGTTCATGGTAGTTTTTCTTGTATAGCCTTTAATTTTTGCAGATTTAAACAAAAACAAATGCAAACATTTATATTTTATAGCTATATATTTTAAACTTTATACGTAAGCATTATATATATTATATATCATTTATTTTTTATGTATGTGTATATATATATATATATATATATATATATAGTATTACAATCATGCAAATCCAATGAGAATAATTCAAAGTAAAATAGCATTTTCACAAAACATCCTATTTTTCATCTTAGTTTTGGTCTAAAATAACATTTGTTGTGGAGTTCGCTCCAGAAGGAGGAATATTTCAATTTGAGATTGAAAAAAAAAAAGTGGCTGGAACACTGTGAAATTTAAAGCAAGGACACACTGGTGCCACATTCCCCCTGTCTGTCCTAAAATACAGTGGGGTGGCGTGGATGAAATGTATAGCGGCGTGCATGACAGAGAGCAGAAGGGAGATAATTGGGCAATGTATGTTGTGAAAGGCGGCATCTGTTGGGGTGTAAAGGGGCTGTGCTTTGGCCCATTGTGCTGGTGAGTTTTAGTGCTTTAATGGGGGCGAGGAGGGATATTTACAAGAATAATATATGGACGGGGAAGGTGAGATGCCAGTTGATTTGTGTCTTTGGGGCTGTTCTTGTGCCTCGGTGCATTGGTGCTAAGTTACTCGGAAGTAAAGGTTTTGGGGAGGGGTGACTGCGACAGCTGAGATGGTGTGGCTGGGGGCAGGAAGGGGGCAATGGACACAATCAGGACCCTAAAGTAGACGATAGAAGGAAGAGAGGTGAAGATCCAAAGAATTAGGCAAATCCCAACAAAAGAATTAAGAAAAGGCAGCAGTGTGTGGGTATTGTGAAAGATGTACCGAGCAAAGGATACTTCTGCTGTGTCAGCCAAAAGCTTGTGGGCACAGATTTCACTTTTGGAGAATGAATGTAACACGGCTAGGGTGAAATCTGATCTGGGCATTGCCTTTATCTGATGGAACTCAGAGCTTCCTGTGTTTAACACACTGTACTTGAACAAGACTGTAATTGTACCTCTTATAATACCTCTTGATTTAAAGGTTCTATAACTACGACATTTATGAGAGAATATCACGAAACCAGGCAAGAACATGTGCGAGTCATTTTCAACCCTCCAATGAAAGATTTCAATGGAGATAATAAGAAATGTTTTTTTTTTTTTTTTTATGACAGTGAGTCCGATTTTAAGAGTTTGTATTTTAACATAATTTTAAAGACAATTAAGCACATTTTTTAACTGCTGTCATTACTGCTATGGAAAAAAAAACTTTTCTGTAATGCAAAAGAAAGACATTTTTATATTTATTTATTTTTTTAAATTACGTAAAAAAAAAACGAAACTAAATAAAGTAAAAACAAAATTAAACAAAACAAAAGGTGTGTGTGGGGGGGGTGGGTTTTGATGAAACATCGTTTTGTTTCATCAAAACGATGAAACAAGATAGTCAAAACAAAACAAAAATGAAAAACAAAACAAAATGTTGCAACAAAAAAGTAAAAATAAAAACAAACAACAAAACAGAAAGGAAAAACTAAATAAACTAAATTAAACGATGAAACAAAATGAAATTCAAAATAAAACAAAACAACAAAACAAAATAAAATAAAATAAACAGACCATTTTATGCTGAGGTCAAATGGGACCTGGAGAGAATTTTTTTGAGATTCACCCCTGTATACTTTATTTGGACTGAAGCAGTGGATCATATAAGCATGATGAGCTCACGTTAACCAAAGTCAAACACACAAAAGTAATAACTCACCCCAGTTTCAGGATGTGAGGTCCATGCGAGTTCAGTGGTGGCCCATTTGGTGTCCATCAGTGTTTCTGCAGGAAAAAAAGAAAGAAAGAAAAAAAAGTTTGAAAACTCAGTTTGAGGAACAATATTAGCTTAAACAACAGACAAATTAGATAAATAAATGGAAATGGAAAACCTTGGGAGGAAGTGATTTCACACTGTGCAGGACAAGCTAAGCAACACACAACTGTCACTGTCCATATTGTTAATAGGTATTAATGCATTGCGATAAATTCATGCGTGCAGGAACGGAGAAACGCTATCATGCTAATCAAAAGTGAAAAGACGGCGAAACAGCTTTGTGGGTGATCCAGAAGGCATTGTCAAAGATTTATGACAGCCCTCCTCTAATTAGATTTAATTAGCCGTGTATTTGCTGGGTGGGATAGAAAAGCTAAGTGTTTTTGAAAGACAACCCACTCCCCTTCACACACACACACACACAAAACATCCACACACTCGCACCCTTAGGCTAGCAGCTGTAAAACTCAAGAGGATATATAACAGAGCAAAGGAGTTCTTGAATAGCACCATAAAACTCACAAAAGGAAGATCTTCACAATTTCCTCACTACCCAATATGCTCTGCGTGTCTGTTTTTCTGTTTTTATCCCACCAGCCATATGTGCAGCTCTCTGTTTTTATTATGATGAAAGCACACTCACTCAGCCTAGACTACCAACATATTGAGCCAAACCATTTTACCTTCCGCCACCTGCTTCGGCCGTTTATACATCGTGGCTGCGTTTACAAATGAGACTATATTTTACTAAATTAGATGAATGGGAGTATTTAAAATAAATATCAGAGTACGTTTCTTGTCCTCCAAAGTGAGTGCTAAACACTGTTACACCTGGTATTAACATTCATTCAGGATGTGAAAAGTTGAAATGGTTCTAACCGCATGTAGGACTTTATGATTTGGAGGAAGAAATTTGCTATTTTTGTGACAAAAATTGTGATATATATATATATATATATATATA